TGTTCATCTATTCAAACTGTGGACAGAAAATACCAGAGAGCAAAAGAGAACAATATCGTCCACGATTCCCAGCATACGTCCGCGATTGTGGTCGTGTACAAAACCTGTGGGAGTCTTCCTAAAAAGTTAGTGTACAAACAAAAGCGGGACTATGGGACTTCCACGATCGACGGTGTGAACATGACTGTGTGTGTTTATCCCGCTGGGGTTAAGATACATCCATGTACATGTTCAGCAGTACATGGGTCAGATTTACATGTAAACTCCCATGTGTTGCAATTATTTTCAGTTGTATACCACAGTCTCTACCATTGTATCTGGTAATGAGTTTTGTCATTTAATTCACCAAGTTGCAGGAGACACGTTGTAATCTTGCTGATATGGGGCAGTGCGGCTTACTCACAACTTATGCATGGTTCAAGTTCACAACTTATGCATGGTTCAAGTATTACAAGCGTGTGTGTGTGATGCAGAGTACATACATGTACACACGACCAGTTTTCATCGACCATCAACTTGAACATGGGACGTTAATAACGCTCAAGAGTTATTCCTCTCTCTCTGTCTCTGTTTGTTCACTGTTGAGTGTGAGGGGGTACTACATGTACATGGAGTTCACAGAGTCCTCAAGAACAGCGGCATTTGGGTGAAGTTACATTGCTGTCAGAGGTTAAGATACATGTTCCGTGCACAGCAGTACATTTGGTCAGATTTAAATTATCATGCGTTACTAGCATTTTCAGTTTTAAACCAGAGTCTCTACCATATAGTGAGTTTTGTCATTTAATTCACCAAGTTGCAGGAGACGCATGGTTATTGTGTTGATATGGAGCGGCGTGGTTTACTCACAAGAGCCAGTTTGGACAGTAAACGGTTCATGCATTTCAAGTATTGTGTGATGCAGAGTGCATGTACACACGACCTGGAATCATCGGAATGAATCCAACCATCAGCTTGAGCACGGACATCCATAGCGCTCAGGTGTCCTACATCTCTTTTTGTTCAATGTTGAGTGTGAGGGGTGCTACATGTAGTTCACAGAGTCCTCAGAATCAACGGCATTTGGGTGAAGTTACATTGCTTTCTGAGCGTGAGCCTTTAAATGCTGCCAAAGTGCATGCACATGTACATGAACTGATGAAAGGGCTAGTTGCACATGTCGGCATTCTTGACACGGCATTGCATGGGTGTAGCGCATGCACGCTCCATTTCGCACATCGAGTAGCGGGTTGATTCTAAGTAATCACCCCACTTGCCGCTGATCCACATCCGTGCAAAATCAGCTCCGGTGCCATCAGTATCTGGCGAGCCATTCGGCTCCTTCGAGCCGACATCCCAATTACGGTAGCCCGTCCCTGCCACTTCATCCTCTGCGCATATCCACGTCCCCTCATTGGCTTTGTCGGTGCAATCGATCCACAATTCCTGAAGGTCCTGAAGTTTGGATGCAACCTGGGCCATGAATTGGTTCTCCTCTTCTGAGCTTGGGACCGCCATGTGAGCGCCGTAGCTACCACACAGTGGATGGACATCTCTCCATAGCATTGGTGTGGGTGTTATCAGATAGCAGGACTGATTCCACCCCAGCCATCCCATAGGGCAGTGTTGGATGCAATCGATCTTGGCAATAGTGAAAATAATGAAAGTCAAGCACTTTGCTTTTATGCCAAAAGCCTTCATACTTGGTATACTTTCAGGCATGCCTCAAGTGTAAGTTCCTGTTGGAATTTGTGAAGGAGTTTACAGCTTGGTGAGCATCTTGTACAATGAAAATTTTGCCAAGAGTATGAAGTGTGTTCTCTCAACCACTGTTCTGGGGATGTTAATACCGGTACGTGTAGCAACCTTTCTGAATGATTAAAACTGGGATGGCTTATACCACGCCCTTCTCAAAATATCAGTTGACACCCAAATTCCGGCGTGATGTCCAAATGGTTCATATTTTTGACAGTGATTGAAACACATGCACAAAGGATATTGTTCATCGACCAAAGCCTTTTGCGAATTGCAATAAATACCACGTACATGTCATTAGTTCAATGACAGATGAATGTCAGGTTAATGGAAATGATAACATATTAGATTGGCATTGCCCCAATAATTTCAGCCTGAAGAAGAGGACTTTGGAAACAGGCAAGACCTTAAAAGGATACTGTTCAACGATAGCTTTTACCAAATTACCAGATGGATGTCTGGTGAATGGAAATGATAATATGAATAGATTGGCATTGGCTCAGTAATCCTGACTGAAAAAGAGGACATTGGAAATATTCTTTAAACGATGTGTATAATTTTATGAAAAGTGTGTTTCGCCACATACATGTTAGGATATAAAGTTGGATTTTACAGTGAGATGAAGCCTGTTTTCTTATTGGCTAACGCAATGTCAACAAAGAAACTTGCTTTCAGCAACCTAAAAGCTTTTCGTTAAAAAAAAAGATCGTTAGGACACTTTGCTGCAGGAGACACATTGTAATCATGCTGATATAGGGCAGTGCGGTTTACTCGCAAGGGCCAGTTTGTGCATGGTTCGAGCATACTAGCATGTACCTTACCATCTTTATGTGGACCTGACAACAAAACAGGTGCGCATAACGCAGGTTGTGTGAATGTTATGAGGACTAAAGCCAGGTCCACATAAGGTTTCGCCCTCTCTGGAAAACAGCTTTAGAGGCATTTTTGGGTTAGGGTCATCCGTCACAAAATGAAGAGGAACACTCAAGGAAATCAGGATAACATATTTGGGTTGAGAGAGTTTTTACAGTGTGAGTTAATTTTTTTTTTTTCCAGTTTTCCTTAACTGTGCGAAAACAAAGGAATGTCAACATAGGGTATGTCAAGTAGGCCTGTGTGTGATGCAGAGTACATGTACATATGACAAGTTTTCATCGACTATCAGCTTGAGTACAGGACATGAATAAAACTCAGGAGTCATTCCATTCTCTCTGTCTCTGTTTGTTCGCTGTTGAGTGTGAGGGGGTACTACATGTACATGGAGTTCACAGAGTCCTCAAGAACAAAGGCATTTAGGTGAAGTTATATTGCTTTCTGAGCGTGGGTCTTTAAATGCTGCCAAAGTGCATGCACATGTACATGAAAGGGCTAGTTGCACATGTCAGCATTCTGGACATGGCATTGCATGGGTGTAGCACATGCACGCTCCATTTCGCACATGGAGTAGCGGGTTGATTCCGGGTGATCTCCCCACCGGCCGTGTTCCCAGACCGTTGCAAAATCAGCTCCGGTGCCATCACTATTATCTGGATAGTCATTCGGTTGACCATCAATGATATTCCAGTTACGGTAGCCCGTCCCTGCCACTTCATCCTCTGCGCATATCCACGTCCCCTCATCGGATTTGTCGGTGCAGTCGATCCACAAACGTTCCTGAAGTTTGGATGCAACCTGGGCCATGAATTGGTTCTCCTCGTCTGAGCTTGGGACAGCCATGCGAGCGCCGTAGCTACCACACAGTGGATGGACATCTCTCCATAGCATTGGTGTGGGTGTTATCAGATAGCAGGACTGATTCCACCCCAGCCATCCCATAGGACAGTGTTGGATGCAATCGATCTTTGCAATAGTGCAAATAATGATAGTCAAGAAGTTTGCTTTCATGCCCACAGCCTTCATACTTGACTTCAGGCATGCTTCAGGTGGAGTTTCCTGTTGGATTTTGTAAAGGAGTTTACAGCTTGGTCAGCATCTTGTACAGAGAAAAATTGTACAAAAATATGAAGCACTCACCCTCAACCGCTGTCAGAGGGAAGTTGCACGTACTGTAAGCAACCTTTCTGAATGATTTAAATTGGCATGTTTTATGCCACACCCTTCTCAAAACATCAGTTGACACCCAATTTCCGACCTGATCTTCGAATAATTAATATTTTTGACAGTGATTGAAACACGTGCACAAAGGCTATTGTTCATCAACCAAAGCCTTTTTATAAATTGCAATGAAAACCACGTACATGTTGTTAGGTCAGTGACAGATGAATGTCAGGTGAATGGAAATGATAACATGATTAGATTGACGTTGCTGCAATCATTTCAGCCTTGAGAAGATCAAGGACATTATATTGGAAATTAAGCAAGATTTTGAACAAGAGGATACTGTTCAACGATAGCTTTACCAAATTGCAATAAATACCACGTACACGTCATTAGTGCAATGACAGATGAATGTCAGGTGAATGGAAATGATAATATGAATAGATTGGCATCGCCACAATAATTCCAGCCTGAAGAAGAGAACATTGGAAATAAGCAAGGTCTTGAACGAGTGGTTACACATAGGCGTATAATTTAAGAAAAGTGTTTCACCACATAAGGATTAAAAAAATGGATTTTGTATTGGGATGAAGCCAGATAGCATCATTTAAGTTTAATTTTAGGAAATACTTTTTGCAACCTCAAGATTTTGCTGAAACTGAAGAATGCATATTGTCACCAGTTGTCTGGGAAAAAAATTGAGGTCTATGATTAAGATTTTCATCTGTCAACCAAGTAACTTAGCGTGAGTCTATTAAGACCTGTTTAAGAGGAACCTCAAACAAGCAGTTCGGTATTTCAATGACCCAAGGTCATTCGGGATAACATCGCTGACGTGATGTTACGCGATGTTAGGCGCACGCCCATTCTGCTCCTGATTGACACGCAAGCATGTGAGCCCGCGCGTTCATGCGCCTTCGATCGTTCGATTATCCTGAATGACCCGTTACCCACATTGTTGTGCACATGCGCAGTTGAAATACCGAACTGACTTATTCTCTTTAAGTTTAGCTTTGGGCTTCCAATACTGTGTGGCACCCAATCAAAATTAAGTTTATATTTTAAATCAAAATTTAACTTTTCTTTGAGCACAAGATAAACACCTCCAGGCCCCTTTCTTGTTGATTCCTCAAAAGTTTCTTGCTGACTTTTTCTTTCCCAGGAACGACGTCGGCAAGTATGTTCTTGTTGATTCCTCAAAAGTTTCTTGCTGACTTTTTCTTTCCCAGGAACGACGTCGGCAAGTATGCGCTGTTCTGTCAGAGGTCATTGGACCGTACCATTCACAAAGGCGGGAGGGAGGCCAAGCCATCGCGGCAGGAGGTGCTGTCCATTCTACAGAGACATCCTTACCACCATTCCTTCCCCATCAGCATGCCGGTGCACTTCATGAACGGGAGCTATCAGGTCAGAAAATGGATCGGTCCTCAAATTTCAAGGGTGGAACCTGGGTACAAATTTAGGAGGGGGTGGGTGGTTGTTGTAAAATTGTTAAAATGTACTTTGTCGAAAGTGTGAACAAACATTGATGTGAAACCTCATGCTCCCGACTTCCTGCACAGTGAAATACACAAAGTCGTCCTGCTTAAAAGTTGACGGGACTAGTCTAAAAAACATGCTTACATTTAGTGAAGTTTTGCCAAAATCTGATTAATCGTAGTTCTGTTTGGTACTTGCCCTTACTGTAAGTTTGCGTGTGTTGCCAGAATGATTCAAGCATTCAAGGCTTTTTGGTGCTCCCACTTTTGAATGTGTTTTATAAACTAATTTCTAAAATGATTACGGACATCGTTTCTTTTTCAGTCGCCTGATTCCTATCCTGTGGAATAAACTACCCTCTCACATCAAAGAAGCATCAAGCCTTGGAACATTCAAATCAGCCCTTAAAACACACTTGCTCACACGAAAGTCTTTGTAATTTTTGTGCTACGGATTATTATTATTTGTTTTGGAGTTAAATGTTGTGCTTAATAAGTGTTTGATATTTACGATAATTTTTTTTATCTTTGTTAAAACCTACATTTGCAGTTAGGAGCTGCATGTCTTGCTTGATAATTGGTGTATATATCTCTGAAGGGAAAATACAACATTTGCAAACATCGAAAAATAAAACTACCAAGTTTTTACGAAAAACTTTACTAGTATGTTGGTAAATGACAGTCTAAAGCATCCTGTCAAACTATGGTACCTGGTGTGAAGACATTTTCAAGAAAATGGTATTTTTGTATACATTTCCAACGGTGGTCGGCCGACCACCGTTGGAAAAACCTGACTATTTTTCAACTACTGCTCCAAATTTACCATTTGTTTTAGTCCAAATTGTGTTTGCTATTGATTACATGTTCATGAACGGGTGCAGGCCAGCTAGACTGGTTCCTTTACCTTACAATTTCTGGCATTTAAAAATTGATCCATTTCATCTTTAGTGGAGTCAGGGAACCAGACTACTTGAACATTTTTGTTTTTCTTGGTTTTTCCAGCATTTTCGGACACAACACTTCAAACATGTCAGTGTAACAATATTTTGATCTATTATACTAACCCCTCAACTAGTTCATTTCTGAAAATTACAGCGAAAGCTAATGATGTACATTCCCTTTAAGTTCGGAAAATCTTTTTTTTTTTAAAGGAGAAAAATTTGTAAAGACTTTCTTTGCAAATGAATTGCCTATGGTTGGCCTTTAAGAATAACCTGCTCATCACCTGTTTATGCGACAGGTTGTAGGGTTTGATGGCTCCACAACAGTCAAGGACTTGCTTCACACTCTCAATCACAAGATCAACATGAGAGATAGCGAGGAGAGTGGCTTTGCCTTGTTCACCGATGATCCGTGTGGGAGGGAAATTGAACACTGCTTGCATCCTTCTGCCAAGGTGAGGTGTATTGACTTGTGGGGTGGGTTGGGTTTGAATTCAGACTGTGGATGCGGTTGGACGGGGCTGGGCTGGATTTGGTTGGACTGGGCTGGGCTGGGCGTGGTTTGGTTGGGCTGTGCTGGGCTGGGCTGGGCTGGGCTGGGCTGGGCTGGGCTGGGCTGGGCTGGGCTGGGCTGGGCTGGGCTGGGCTGGGCTGGGCTGGGCTGGGCTGGGCTGGGCTGGGCTGGGCTGGGCTGGGCTGGGCTGGGCTGGGCTGGGCTGGGCTGGGCTGGGCTGGGCTGGGCTGGGCTGGGCTGGGCTGGGCTGGGCTGGGCTGGGCTGGGCTGGGCTGGGCTGGGCTGGGCTGGGCTGGGCTGGGCTGGGCTGGGCTGGGCTGGGCTGGGCTGGGCTGGGCTGGGCTGGGCTGGGCTGGGCTGGGCTGGGCTGGGCTGGGCTGGGCTGGGCTGGGCTGGGCTTGCTTTGTCCACTGCGACAACCCATATCATGATATATCAATAAACGCAGGAGAAGACACGGCTTCCAGTACCAGGTGTGTTATGTTGTTTTGGTTGACCTGTTAATCTTTACCATGGCTTTGCTACAGATCTGCGATGTGATATCAAAGTGGGAACAGACTTTGAAGGAGACACAAACCGGCAAATGGGAAACAGCTAGAATGGTGCGACTCACCTATAAAAACAGGTAAAACCCAACTAGAACAGAAAATTTGGAGAAGTGCAAAATAGTTATGTTGATTGTTTTGATAGAGTCGTATCAGTGGCAGTGGAGTCCTATATCTGCTGGTTAACAACTAAACGGTTAAAAGAAGATAACAAATATCTAAATAGAATTTTTTAACAAATATCTAAATAGAAAATGGGTTGGGGCTGTCCCGAATATACTGAATACTCCACTATTCGATCATCAACTGAATATTTGAATAGCGTTTTGCCAGTTTGAATAAAACAAATAAACTACATGCACATACCCACACGACTGTGATGTTAATTTAATTGTAAAGTTGCATGGCTTAAGTGTCAGGTCGCACTTTTTTTTTTCCAAAGTAACTTTTTTGTCAGCGGCGGTTCATTATTCACATCCTCTTAGCAGCCTAAAGCCCTTTTACTTTAATAAAATACTTAATTCGAAACACTCCAGCGCCCCCATATCGATCGCCGAATGCATATTTTACCGGCGCAGCACACATTTGCAGTTGGCAGTTTGGAATATCCGAGTATTCGGTCAAATGCAGTTTCGAGTTATCAAAAACTAAATTATTCAAAAGTTGACAGCCCTGAAATGGTTATTACTCCCGGGGTCTTATATAGCGTACGTATCTACCAACAATTAGGTACTCAAGGTGCTGGAAAATTATTTTCCAGTTTTTCATTTGTTGACTGTTCCTAGATGAAAATTTGACACAAACTTCAGACTGAAATCTTATCATAAATAAAAAATATCGGAGCCAGATTTGGGTGTGTCAGTAGATTGTACTTATCAAAAATCTTGAAAAACTGGCAATTTTAAATTCCCTTAGGTAATGTCAATTCAACAGAGAATAATTGAGTGATAGGTCACAGACGTTTGATGCTGTTGTTCAGTAAATTGTGGTCAGTCTAATTTATAAGGTAAAGAAATCTAGAAAATATTGAAGATTGAGAAGTGAATACAACCTACATGAATCACACGCAGAGCATGTTTGCAGTAAGCATACCAGTGACTGGACTTCATGTTTTTACTGGAAACTTTTAGGTTTACTGAACCAAAGTTCCTTCCCCTTTCCAGTCATCTGGTTCCACTTCGGTTTTAATCCCAGCTACGCAATAACAAGGAAATCCATCAAAAAATGTGGTCGCACTCAGGAAAATAAAGACAGGGAAAAAAAAAAAAAGAGTTGGATGTGAATTACGTCCGGTTGGGAAATGATCAAATTTAGAATCTGGGGGAAGTGGTACAGTAATTGGATTAGTGGTTCTGATTGGTTTGATTTCCTCTTCGGGGGGGATTTCCCAGGTTGTACTTCCGACAGCGCTCTAAGCGAGAGACGGAACGCGAGAAGCTGCTGCTGACCTACCAGGTCAACGATGACATCATCAACGGCTGGTTCCCGATCAACAAGGAGCTGGCTCTGGAACTGGCGGCACTCATGGCACAGGTGAGCAAACGGGGAACCGGTTACAGTTACATATAGGTCTCTTTCAAAGACAGCCATCTCTGTAGGAGAACTGCAACGCAATCAAGCACGCCTTGCGCAGTTTTGAAAATGTTCCAAAGATGCGCTTGGTGCTCGAAATGTGTTGGAAATACGACGCAGCCGATGCGCGTTATGCAAGTTGACGCCCGAAATGCCGATGCACGTGGATGGTCTGTAGGAAATGATGTCATTTGAGAGTATACAAATAATGAATGTTTGTGAGTGCAATGGTAAGAATAATTTCATGAGGTGACAGATGAAATGTTCCATTCCACGAGGCGAAGCCGAGTGGAATGGAACATTTCATCTGTCATGAACGTGAAACATTCATTATTTGTTTTATATAACACCTGAATAAATCCTCGTCATCTGATTGGTTGACTTTAAATAGCCAATTTATTCAAGTTAAAAATTGTTTACAAGTTTGACAAGTTCAGAGTTATCATATTTAATTTATGCAAACTGTTCAACAGGTTGAGAACTATCATATTCAATTTATCTCAATTTAAAACTTTTCCATAAGTTAAGAACTTAAACAGTTCAATAAGTCCAGAACTTTTATTACCAATTTAAACACCACAGCGGCAAAATGTGCAGTGACAGTGCAATGGTACTTCTAATCACAGTGCAATAGTACTTCCATTGCACTGTGCGCTGCGCGCCACGCGCACGCCATGCATTGGTACGAATAATTCAATGACATGTGATCAACGATCCACCAATCAGATGATGGGGATTTTTTCAGGTGTTGTATAAAGACCTTTATTAAGCAGAAAACTCTACATTATTCCAAATTACACTCGCGCTCATGATTAAACTAATATTATCACCTTACCCAAAATAATCAGCATTCCACTTGACTTTTGCCCTCTGTTGCAATCGCAGATTGAATACAACGATTACAGACCCAGCGTGACCAACCTAGAGCTGCCGTCCACCGGTTCCAGCGCAACGAGTACCAGTCAGACATTAGACAGTGCATTTGAGAAGTTCTACCCTAAGAGATACAAGAACTGTGAAGATGAGGACCTGAGGTATGTAGGAGCAGTCATGTTCTCCAAATCATACGGTTCACCATTGCAGTGGCATCTGTGGCCGAGGTTGGGCTCTTGACGCAAATTTTGCTGAGACTTGCCTGTACTTCATAGCGCAGTGTCTTGCAAAAAAAAAATTCCATCATTTGTAATTTGTAAAGCGTCCATCATTTGTAATTTGTGCATTACGTTCATTTGAAGCAACAAAAGTGCTCAAAATCTAACAAAAGGTGCTGAACAACTAACCTGATGAAGTTTTTAGCTCAGTTAATGCTGTATATTCTGAGAAGACAGTGTTCTAGGATCTCGATTTCAAATCAAAAGTTGCAGAGTCATGTTTGAATTGGGCCTGAATTCAGCGTCCGAGAAACGTTCTCACTGAGCTGATTGCAGCTAAGCGATGTTGGAAATTGATAGAAACCATTGATAGAAATCATTGTTGGAAATTGATAGAAAGATTCCTTTTTCTTGAAAATATCACACCAGGTGCCATGATTTGACAGGATGTTTGAGACTAATATTAGTTATTACGTAATATTTTGGAAGTTTTGTTTTGTGATGTTTGCAAATGTTGCATATTACCTTTAAGGGACACGTAACAGATTTTACAGGCAAGCAGGATTTTGTGCAACATCCAGTGCTCTCCCAATGCTTACTTGGATGGGTCTCGAACCCCTGACCTGTTAACTACTGGTCGTACTACTTGACCACCAAGCTTGCCGGGTTTTTTCGGCAGGTTCGAATCAGCAGTGCAACGAGTCACGGGGAGATGAGTAAATCTACAAGCAAGGAGTTTCATCAAACGTTTCTGTTTGATTTTCGTTGACAGGACCCTGAAGCACAGTCTAGCCCAGAAGTGGTGCGTCCTGAAGGGCCGTACACCCGCAGACTGCGTCCGCATCTACCTGACGGTCACCAGGAAATGGCCACTCTTTGGTGCTAAACTCTTCCCTGCCAAGGTAAGATGCCGGGTGGTTTAGTATCACTGGTTTACAGTTTGGTAAACAGCAGAAAAGCTTGTTGACTTATGGACTGCCATCACTGCATAAAGGGTGCAATTGGTCTGTTCTGACCTATATTCCCAACTAATCAAAGGGTGAAATGAGACACAAAATCTACTTAGACAATTTGAATAAGCCCACACAATTTGAAGCTTTCACACTTAAATACAGTACAAATATTTTCTGTTTTTATTTTTTAGAACACTTCAATAGGGTACAAATATTTTTATTATTTTTTTGATTTTTTATGGTTTTTTTTGTACCGTAATGAAACCAAGGATTCCTCAAAAGCGCCCTAGGCACTGTAGCTTGAAAGCCTGAAGAAACCTGTAGAGAGGAGACAATGAGAAGAAATTACAGTTTTAGATGTGGGAGGGAAACCCCAGAATGATATTCTAGGGAAAACCTGTGGACGGAATGAGATAGGGACTGAAAATCTAACCCGCATGTGGTCCGGGCGGGAATCAAAGCCACAGCGGCAGACGGCGAGGAAAGTAACCACTGCGCCAATCTGATTCCCTGACTCCAACCTTGACACAGCACAACCGATTTCTTTTGTCAAACAAATATGAACTGATTGTCAAATGTCCAACGTCAAACCCTAATCTCGCTCTCTCTGAATTACATGAATGATCATTGATCTATGATCTGGACTATGTATAACTATGACCAGTTGCCTAACCCGAGAGTGTATGTTTCTTGATGTTTTCATTCACGAAAAGGCGAAACTAACCCCCAGCGACTTGAGTATGGTGGATTAAATATGCTTTTTAGGGGTGCGTTCGAGTAGCTCACCCGGACCGACTCAGGTAAAGGCAGACTGGTTAGCCACGAAAGCCCTGCTAATCGAACGCTAAACCTTGAGCCATCACAATCCTCAAGTAGCCGTGGCCGTAGCCAAAAGCCATTGACAAAACACCCTTTTCAGACCGAGCCTTACTTTGGTATTTACTGCTTTTCCGTCAGTTGCAAAAAGTAGCAAATTCGGGCTGGAATTAAAGCCACTGAAGTCGCAAAGAGCTCAATAAATATTTATGTTTATACTTCAAATAAACTTGATTTGTAGGCCCACTTGAGGTTATCTGCTGTCGGTCGCGTTGGTTTCTAGGGATGAACAGCGCATGCTTGTGACGTATTTACACCAGTGACTCTGCAACACGAGCAGGGTCTTTGGTGGCTGACCCGCGTGAGCCCCTAGAGTGACATCAGGGCTAATCAAGGGGCTATTAAACCCAGTTGACCAGGATGAGCTATTCAAAGTATCCATAAAAGATTTGACCTCCCAAATCATGATATATCCTCCTTTGCCTGTGATTTTGTTGTTCCACTCAATCAGAGACCTTTGATATTGACATGCTTGTTTTTTCAGTGCAAGTTTGGCAAGCAAGACAGAGTATGGCTAGCTGTGCAGGACGGTGGCGTCAGTATGCTCAACTATAACTCACTGGTAAGGCTTAGCCTTCTGAGGTCCTGAAAATTATAAACAAAAAAATTAGGAGAAAAAATATAAAAGTCAAAATATACTTTTGCAGCGTCACTCATAAGACAGTAGATTTTCTCTTCTTGTGTATTATACACTTAAGTATATTTTTGGTGGCTGTGATCAATTTTAGCAAACAGCAGTACTCATTGTTTTTAGTCGAAAGGAAGATGGCAGAATATGACACATCTGTGTTTTCAGGTATAACATTGTACAAGCCATTGTTTTCAAATTCTTGGACTACAGAATAATGATTTAACTGCTAATGTCAATATTGCCTGCATGCAGTGTATTATTTATTTCAGTCATCAATAACAAGATGATTTTGTACATCGCACAGTTGTAGACAAATTTTGATTCTGATTTTGCTTTTTATTTTCTCTCAGACCAGACAAGACCAGATTTTATCCAACTTTGGGGTGTAACGCTTTTTGTTTCGTTCCTTTGCAGCAAGAACTTGCCAAGCACTCCTTCCAGTCTATGGTCACGTTTGGCGGCTGCCGTGACGACTTCATGATTGTCCTCAGCCAATCGGTGACCAAGGAGGTACCCCGGGAACGCGAGCACGGCACCGAGAAACTGCTCTTCTCCATGTCAAAAACAAAGGTAGATCCAACATATCCAATGACCTGCCAGAATACGAGTCAAGATGTCAGTAAACTGTAAAGGAGAGTTCTTTTAGTGACCACACTTTTTCCAGTGTACAATGCGGTATGCACACAGCAGATTTCTCACAAAACGTGTTCGAGAGCTCTGTCTGGATGACAGGGCTTAACACCTTCACTGCTTAAAAAACAGGAGTGTGAAAAGCGTAAATGTTGGCCATTTGCAGCTGCTACAAGAATTTATGTTTTGGCCGCTTCTGGCTTGTATTAGGGAATATTAGTGTGAGGGGCCAGTCTTCACTGCATGATAATGACCAGGTTGGGGGATGGCAGCTGTTAATGGACTGAGTCGAACCCGGTCATTATCATGCAGTGAAGACTGGCTCATGCGTTGTAATATACCACCCTAGCCGGGCCCAGGTTGTGCTGGACGACATCTTCATTGCATTTTGACCACAGACGTCCAGGGTATGAACTTCTGCTGCCGTAGCGAGACAAATTACAACAATTCTCTTTATTTTATTGTGTCACCCAACAGGTACTGGAGATCACCCTACTGATTGCCAGCTACATCAACGCCATTGTCAAGCAGGAAGGCCTGACATACAAGCCCACGGGGGAGTTAGCCACGGCGGACGGCACCGGTTCATCCGTGAGTAGCAGCGGGGGGCCGGCCTCCTGCACCAACCCCAAAGTCTGGGACCTGGAGAGCTCGACGGGACCCATCGTTGTCGGTGGAAGCAGGATTGTCTAGTGCTGACCCGCACTCAGTTTTGTGGAACCGCTCCAAAAGATGAAGAATTGTTTAGCAGATATTTGTGCTTAGCAATAATCACAGCTGGGAATCAGTCACAAGGAAAGTGTTTCTAAACAATGTGCTCTTGGAAAAAATCGGCCAAGAACCAGTATCACATGCAAAAGTCCTGGGGCAGATTGCAATACCGCGGTCTTAGATGGCTGGCTTAACCAGTCTGATTTTAGCCAGCTTATCGCTCTTAGACGGTCTTGGTAAAGAGACTAAACTTGACCCACTTGCAATAAGCCAGTCTTTACCAAGCCTGCTTTTTAACCAGTTCGCGTCGGAGGACGTGATAACACGCACTGGCACAAACGCCACAAACACTGATTCGCAGAGAGTCATTTCTACAGGATTTGTACGATATTTGTTGCCGAATACTCCGGGGTGTGCACCGGATCGGAGCGTAAATTGTCGAACGATAGGCCGAGCACAACGGCCAATTCAAGATCAACACACGGTCCACCTCCAAACACTTCACGGACTTTGTGTGTGTGTACAAAAGGCACGAGGGATTAGCGTGTTAAGGCGCACCCAGAGGCCAGGCAAGGCACGCTTGACGTCTCAACCCGTCAGCTGCGCCTGTGTATAAAAACAGCCAGTGCGTGTTATCACATACTCCGACCCAAACTGGTTAAGACCGGTAATTGCAATCCGCCCCTGATCTGATTGGTCAGTGCAGGCAGGGAGAATCCATTAGCCAGAAATCCATTTGTTTATGGAAGGTGTTGCATTGAGATAATTTTTTTTTTTTTAAGCTTCTGAAAGTTGTGTGTGTGGAAACAGACTATTGATGAGCTGGCATTGTTCAGAGTGTATTTTATTTTGTCTAGCAAAAGTTTTTGTCAAAGCCAAAATGTGAGCTTGTCAGTTTGTGGTCGAACATCCCAATGTGTCTAGTTCCATCAAATTGGGGAATATGTCACTAGAGATTTTACAGATGTGCCCGTTATGATATTTGGACAAAGATTTCTTAGTGAGACATTTGAACGTTAACCACTGATTATCCGTAGCATTCATCGTACAGTCGTGAAATAGAGTGGAGTTTATTTGATAAAGAGTTTATTTAAAGCATCTACATCCTATTGTGTTAAACCCCAATTTTGGTGTGCAGTGCGTTGCACACACAGACTGCGTTATCGATAGATGCAAACTGCGTTGTCGATAGACACACATTATTCAATGCAATAGTCTAACTCTAGCTGTGATATATTCTTTCCAAGTTAATCCTCATTTTGATGGAGCCGGTCATACATGCATAGTCACATGACATGGGATAGCACCTTGCTTTATGCTAAATAAAATTTACACTCTTGTCACTTTTTTTCTTCCATTTCTCACGGTGTTTTTGCGGTTGCCTTTATGTGTTTTTTTTCTTTAATCCCTAAAAATATGAATATATAAGAAGAAGAACCACAGACACTGCATGTGTTATATTGTGCAATACTATTCAGATCTAGACAATCAAGGTGTATACATATTATATAGCCCAGTCATATAACCTACTCGGCGTTTTTTGACCTAATATTCCTGTAGAATATAAATTTATTACTGTTGTATAAAGTAAGGGCTGATTTGTATCGGTTGTACACTGCCTTGGTAATGTGTGGTTTTAAGGGAAACTATGACTTTGTTGTTTTGTTCTGTTGATGATGTTAAGCACCGAGAAGAATCCTGAGATATGGAGACCTCAATCTCTGCTTATATAACCATCGTTATATCGTGTCTTGGATACTGTAATTTCATTGGTCTAGAATGGCCGTGTGCCTATAAAATTGACAGTTTACTTCATATGCAGCGTGGTGCAAACAGAAGGAAACCCACTTTTGACAGGAATTTTAACCTACTTACGGTACTTATTTAGCTGTTTTGAATACAATGTAGTAAAGACAGGTCTTCAACCACACCTGGTAAAATCTTTGAAAAATTTGCAAGAATAGTGTTATTATGCTTATTTGAATACAAGTCGCCAAAATCACTGTTGTCCACGTGTAAGTCTAGTGTAGCGTTTTTGTCTTCAAATCAAGCTCCGGAGCTCAGTCAAGCGGATGGATTAAAGCCGTCCGTGGACAAACAGGTTTGGCACATGAAATTTTTTAACTACCATATTTCACAGACAAAATATGCATTCGCAATCACTTTTTCGTCCCTTATGTTTAAAGATCAATATTTTAATACCATTGAATTGAACTTTTGAAATATGCTCAACAAGTAGGTGAAAATTGTTGTCGAAAGTGGGTTCCCTTCTTTTTTTGCACCACCCTGTACACTACGTTGCATATAAATTTCTCATATTCAACGTGTTGCATATTGTGTGTTGGGCCCGCGCGCCTTGCAACAGAGAACTGCAACCACTCAATCTCCAAGTCACAGCAGAGCTCACAGTATGCCTGATCAGAAGGTTACACTGCAGTGATTTGATTTATTTCTTGACTAAAGAGTAAAAAACGTTCTTTTTTAACTTATTGGCAGAATACAGGGCGAGTCAAAGAAAAAGCGGAACCCCAAAACAAAGAAATCTATTTGGTATAAAAAAAGAATATATGTGGCACCAAAATTAATTTTGACTTGGAAGCCCATTTATTAAACTACTTTTAAGTGAGGAAATTATTTCAATTGCTCTACACTTTAAAAATGTATTACTATTTAAATGAAGTAAGCCTGAAAACAGTTCTCGTTATGACTGTTTGGAACAACAAAGAATATGACACACAATACTTGTTTCAACAACTGTAGCACACAATATCTTCATTAACAACCCTGCTTTGGCTAACAATAGGATTTATAAAATCCACCTTTTTTCTTAAAGGCGGGCCTTCAAAAGCATTTCGTTGAATATTTTTAACTTTTAAACTGAGGTTTAATCGCTGGTGATGTTTGAAGCCAATTGTAACGACAATTCTTGAAATCGCGTTTTTTGGACGAAACAGATTTTAGGGTCATTTTGTTTAAATGGTGATATAATTTGAATGGATTGAGCAATTGAAGTAAATTTTTTCAGCTAAAAGTAGTTCATTAAATTGGCTTACCAGTCATAATTATTTTTGGTGCTACAATTGTTTTTTAAAATGACATATATTTTTCAGGGTTCGGGTTCCGCTCTGTTTTGACTCGCCCTGTGTAACAAAAAAACAATCCTTGACTGTTGTGGGACATGGTGTTTTTAATCCCCTCTGAGTGCATATAGAACCCGAGGCAAAGATTGGTATTTACTTCTCACTTAGTACATGTACATGAAACAAGAGCACTGGTACCGTCAAAATGTGGCTCAGTAAAACCGACGAGCATTTTGTTTAACCATCCAGTTTCCCTCATTACTTTGAAGGGATATGTTACAGCATACACTCCATACATATATCTACATGTATTCCCACATAATGAAAAGAACCTAAATATTTAATAGTATTACTGGCAGACCCTTGAGTGCCATTAAAAAAATAATCAGAATTCTTTAAAAGGTCACAAAAGAAAAAAAATCCTGAAATGGTAATTGCTGTTGATGAAACTTGAAGAATGACACTGTTACACTCAATAGTTTCTTTTTACTGATATCACATTTGCGGGAACAGTTATTTGAGTTTATTTTTTTCTTCTGAAATTTATGTTCAGTTTTGGTCTGAAATTGAGTTTTGCCACGAATATTTGGTAGGCAAAGTATTGAAATTTATCAGGTCAGGCGTAAAAATATATTTATTTATTCTATGGGTTAAATTTGTGGGACAGACAATCAGGGATTTTAAGCAGTCAAACTGAAGTCTATTATGTTACTCTGTGTGTTTTGTTTAAAAGAATTACAACTGCAGGTAGTTTTATGCATTTAGTGTTTTGGTTTTGTTTTTGTGTTTCCCTCAAAAAAGTTGATCCTGATTTGCCTTGGACTGATGTTCCGATTGCCTTACATATGTTCCAATTCATTCATGCTACTTCCCTCTTAATATGTATTAGTATTGTTTTTGACATTTGGAACTATGTTTTACTCGTCTATCTTGGCCTTTTATCTCAGTGTCTTTGTTTCCAATTCCAAGATGACTAAACATTTTGATTAATCAAAACGGGACCTTGCATTTTTTCCCTTTTTTTTTTTTAAAAAGAAACCCCTGTTGCTTAAAACTTAAGACAGAAGGGCTGATAACAATGAATTGCTGCATGGGTGTAACAAGAACTGAAGATATCAATTTGTTTTGTTATCATGACTTTAGTTTACATTGTAATTACGTCACAAGAAGGTTTCATTATTATGTACATGTACTTGCCGGAGCTAGTGTAAATGGATTGCTTTTCCTGTCAGTGCAATTAGTTTGAATAACTGTGCAATGAGATAATAAAGCTGCACACTCACCCTCATGACATAGCAAACTCACCCTCATGACATAGCAAACTCACCCTCATGACAATTAACTCACCCCAGTGACATATTACACCTGCACTCTCACCCTCATGTCATAATGAACCTGCAAACTCACCCTATGATATAATGAACCTGTCCACTCACACTCATGTCATATTGAACCTGCACACTCACCCTCATGGCATATTGAACATGCACACTCATGCTCTTGTCAGATTGAACCTGTACACTCACCCTTTTGACATATTGAACCTGCACACTCACCCTCGTGTCATATTGAACCTGCACACTCACCCTCGTGTCATATTGAACCTGCACACTCACCCTCGTGTCATATTGAACCTGCACACTCACCCTCGTGTCATATTGAACCTGCACACTCACCCTCATGTCATATTGAACCTGCACACTCACCTTCATGTCATTTTGAACCTGCACCTCCCCCCTTATGTCATATTGAACCTGCACACTCACCTTCATGTCATATTGAACCTGCATACTAACCCTCATGATATAGTGAACCGGCACACTCACCCTCATGTCATATTGAACCTGCACACTCACCTTTATGTCATATTGAACCTGCACACTAACCCTCATGATATAGTGAACCTGCACACTCGCCCTCATGACAAAATGAACCTGCACACTCACCACTACTAAAGTATGACTTGGTCCACCTGATTTGTTTTCGTAGCCGTGTTAAGATTTTTGCTCAATACCTCCTAATGATCTTTATACGTTGACTATTGTGGGTAAAAGGATGTACATGTATACTTTAATATGTGTTCTATTTACTATTAATATTTATATGAAAAAGTTTATGTACGTAAGCATTCTCAATACATTTTCAGTACTTTTTGATGTCTGCATGCTGCAAAGATTGTGTTATTTTGCTGTCTGCACAAAATGTGGCCGGGTACAGTTCATGTACTGCGTAGTTCTGGTATGATTGTATATAGTTTAATTTGCAGTGTTTTACCCAAACAAGGAAATATTGTTTTAACATATACTTAAGATGTCATGTGCCATAATACAAAATATAACCTTAAAAGATATCTTTTTTTTCCGAAGGTAGACATATTTAAAGATGTTGGTGAATGAAGAGCTTTTTTTTTTAAAGAAATACAGATAATGTAGAAATTGTTGTGTTACTTTAATAGAAAAAGGTAGTTTATGTTTTGTTTTGGGTTTTTACAAGTTTGTTTTTCAAGCAAAGTGTGTGCAACTAAATAGTCTGCTTTATATGGATGTTCGAAGATATAGGTGATATGTTTTTTTGTTGAAATCCTGTTTGTTTTTGTTGGCACTGAAATAAAATATAACTGCATAATATACCCATATTCCGGTTTCAAACATTTCCTTTTTGTCAATAAATTTATACATTTTGTACTAGTTTACGTCATATATTATGAGGCGCACTTGATGACTTTATTGCTAAAGAAATAAATATAGGACGAAACAAATAGATATAGGAAGAATCTAGCTTCCTTTTATATATATTGCAACTCTTCGTCCTAGATTTATTTGTTTCGTCCTTTATATTTGTCTGTTTCGTCCCATATTTATTTGTTTCGTCCTATCTTTATTTGTTTCGCAAGTCATAAAGGGCGCCTCATTATAGTTAGAATTTAGAGGAGCATGACAAGACAGATATAGGTCTGTAGTGTAGGTCACACTGATCACTGTTTTCAGTTAATCAGGAACTGCCTAGATAACGAGAAAATGAAATTTATTTCTAAATTGCATTCGGGAGATGTAGGCAAAGTGAGCCGTTGAGGAACAGCTTTAATCACATCATTGTCACCTATGGTGTGTTTGTTAGTTCACTATTCGTATGATGCAACAGTCGTAATGAAATTTAAAAAAAACCACCTGCGTATAGGCCTATTATCCTGACCAACGGCGTCAATCGCTTCTCAAAAGTGGGGGGGGGGGGGGGGGGGCATACCTTGATTGGCAGTAATGGGAAGCGCGAAGCCCCAACGGCGTGGGGTCCGGGGCCCGCTTAAGCCCGGAAAATGTTACATTCTAGACGCTCTGTGGTGCGATGTGAGGCAATTTCTGACCACTTAAACCACTTTTTTTTAGCACAAGATCATCTTTTAAACATCATTCTCGAGTTTGGAGTAATTGAATCAGGTATTCTAAGCTATAGAATCACTATGTAGGCTGAGTTTTTAATCGGGGACAAAAAAGTGGGGGGCGGGGGGACAAACGATATGATATCCCCCACTTTAAAAAGTGTGGGGGGGGAGTGGTCCCCCCCCCCCGTCCGCACCGATTGACGCCCATGATCCTGACGAATGGGTGAGCCTGAAAGTTGACTCCTGGTGGCGCGCTTCTGGACCTATTCGAATAGGAAAATTAGCCTGTAAATGTCCGGAGTTTGTGAAATTATTTTTGCTACGTTGATTTCTTAAGAAAATCAGATTTGCAGGGCTCTGCGCCGGATCTGGTAACGAAGTCTGTGAAGCCAGCTCATTATATTTTGAAGAAGAAAAAACACCGGTAAAGGGCAAGACTCATTATCACATGTATAATATGTGACGATTGAAGACTGGAAGGACACAATTTGTGAAACCAATGACGTGTTGACGTCCCGTGGGCGATAATTATTTTCTTGCTACGCTATATTCAGTTATAACCATAATACGCATGCGTACAGGCGTTGAAGCGCTGTATCACGAGAGATTCTTCCAGTGGGAACAGGTTGAATTTTCACGCACTTTCTGTAAACACTTTATGGAAACCTGAGCGTCTTCAAGTTAAAAAACATTCTTTGTCTTGCTTGCATGCAGCACATTCTTGACAATTCTGTGCTAGTTTGTAACAGAAGATATATTTTTTAACAAAGATGGAGAGTTCCCTGTGGCCTCTGGTGATCTTTCATATCATCGTGGGCATCGTTGGTTTGCCAGGTAACGCTCTCATCGTGTTGGTGTATGGCAGGAAACGACAGATGACGAGCCCCCATGTCTTTATCCTCGCCCTGGCTGTAGCGGATCTGATGGTCTGCCTCTTTACTCCCGTAACCGTCTACCATTGGTACATCAGACTCAACTACACAAGTGGACTTCTCTGCCGTCTTGTCATCACTGGGACTTTTGTCACCGTCTACAACTCTTGTTTCTTGACATCTGCCATCGCAGTGGACCGGTACCAGGCCATCTGCCGGCCGCATCGGCGCTGGATGACCGTCCGGCGCGCCAAAATCACGGCGGTGGTCTGCCCAGTTTTGGCGATACTCATCAGCGTTCCGGTGTTCGTGTCGTATGACGTGGCTCCTCATGCCCAAGAATCCGACACAGGAGTTTGCACGCTCAGTAAAACAGTACCCATCTGGGTGACATACTTAACCACCACGGTAATTTATGTGGCATCCCTGTGCACCCTTGTCACCAACATAGTTCTTTACGGGAAGATGTACCGAGCAATCCGTAAACGAGCCGCCGTGCGACCTGGTCATGAACGGGCCAATGGGCCAGCAGAAAGTACGACCGTTTCTCGACCGATGAGTAAAAACTCACCGTTGTCGACAGGTCAGTCTGAGATTGAAGTCGCTACAGTTTCCGGTTCAACCTCACAAAATATACTAAAGTCGCAACAGCAGGTACACAAAATGTGCCTCCATCAGCAGCAGTTGCAAGAACAGCAGCAGCAGCAGCAACAACAACATCAACAACAGCAGCAACAGCAGCAACAACAACAGCAGCAACTACAACAGCAGCAACAGCAGCAGCAACAACAGCAGCAACTACAACAGCAGCAACAGCAGCAGCAGCAGCAGCAACAGCAGCAACAACAACAGCAGCAGCAGCATGAAACATCATTTACAATCAACATCCAGAACCGCGCGAATGTGCCTACAAACAACAGGCTCTCTAACCAAATAGCAACTGGTGCGACCGACACTACCCCAGTTCGACAGCGTCGACAGAAAACTCAGACGCAAAGATTGCACGGTAAGACGACCAAAATGCTGGTTATCACCACCGCTGTCTTCTTCGCTACTTGGCTACTGGCGCTTTGTATTCTCGCCCTGCCGCGGCACGTCGACAGTTTCATCCATGATAATAGCCAGGTTGGCTACTCACTCCTGTACCTGTTCAAGTATATATTTTATTTGAACAACGCCATTAACCCATTTATCTACGGCTTTGTGAACAAACGGTTCCGTGAAGATTTCAAGAAGACCTTGTCTGCACTAAGATGCTTCTGTCGAGGAACCCGTTGAATGTGCTCCGTTCTTCTGTTGTGTTTAATCTTTTGTGTGTGTCCATATATCGCTTGCAAATATATTGCATAACATAGAAATAGATTATGGTAAAGAAAAAAATACTAAATAATATACTTATTTTGAATGATATTTAGTTGCACACCAGCCTGGTCCTAATGCCTTGACGCCCATGATCCTGACGAACGGGTGAGCCTGAAAGTTGACTCCTGGTGGTGCACTTCCGGACCCATTCGAATAGGAAAATTAGCCTGTAAAAGTCGGAGTTTGTGAAATTATTTTTGGTACATTGATTTCTTAAGAGAATCACTCTCGGAAAAGGCTCTTGTAAAATTGTCATAGCATCTCAATTTATGGAAACTGAAAAATGGCATGATGTGAGAGAGAAATATCGTGCCAAATATTGACCTCTCACTTCCGGGAATCAAAAATCCATTTTGATTAGTGGAACTCGGTGCACTCGTACAAAGATGACAATTTATGAAAAAGTAGAGGTGTATATTTTAAGATTGTATATCTTAAGAACTGTAAGTAGTCCGATTGGGTTGGGAACTTGATATGTACAAACAGACAGGGACGTGTTGTGTCACTGGTTCGAATTGAAAATTGTGGGATTTGTTCAAGCGCGTCACGTTAGGTATAGGCCTAACCCTCAGGAAGATTGTGTGCCCAATTCTCTGAAACCATCTGTTTTGAATTCCGGACCTTAATTTTCTTGACACTAAATATCTTCGCAAGGTTTCCATAGCACGTTTTATTGAAGTAATAGTATACAAATAATACATGTTTATGAGGGTAATGGTAAGAATAATTTCATGAGAATGCAGATGGAATGTTACATTCCGCGACTCGGCGAGACAAACAATTATGTCACTCAATAATGTTATTCTTCCGTGCGGCCGGCAGGCGCGTCAAAAGTTGGGAAGAGTAATTCAATGATAGTGTCAACGATCCGCCTATGAGATAGTACGAGTCTAACAATCAACTGGATGAATTCAAGGCATAGGATCCTACACACAAGGATTAATTAATCGGCCAAAGTCCTGGTTTGACGCGTGATAACGGCCCGTACAGGTGGGAAAACCACGAATACTTGTCAAATCAGACACCTGCCCGCGGCGGCTTTCAGATTTGCAAGGCTCTGCGCCCGATCTGGTAACGAAGTCTGTCGAGCCAGCTCATTATATTTTGAGGAAAAAAACGCCGGTAAAGGGCAAGACGACAGTTTCATCCATGATAATAGCCAGGTTGGCTACTCACTCCTGTACCTGTTCAAGTATATATTTTATTTGAACAACGCCATTAACCCATTTATCTACGGCTTTGTGAACGAACGGTTCCGTGAAGATTTCAAGAAGACCTTGTCTGCACTAAGATGCTTCTGTCGAGAAACCCGTTGAATGTGCTCTGTTCTTCTGTTGTGTTTAACCTTTTGTGTGTGTCTAATTATCACTTGCAAATATATTGCATAACATAGAAATAAATTATGGTAAAGAAAAAAATACTATTAAGAAATAATATACTTATTTTGAATGGTAATTAGTTGCACACCAGCCTGTTCCTAAATGCCTTGACGCCCATGATCCTGACGAACGGGTGAGCCTGAAAGTTGACTCCTAGTGGTGCGCTTCCGGACCCATTCGAATAGGAAAATGAGCGTGTAAAAGTCGGAGTTTGTGAAATTATATTTGGTACATTGATTTCTTAAGAGAATCACTCTCGGAAAAGGCCTTTGTAAAATTGTCATAGCATCTCAATTTATGGAAACTGAAAAATGGCATGACGTGAAAGAGAAATATCGTGCCAAATATTGACCTCTCACTTCCGGGAATCAAAAATACATTTTGATTAGTGGAACTTGGTGCACTCGTACAAAGATGACAATTTATGAAATAGTAGAGGTGTATATTTTAAGATTTTATATCTTAAGAACTGTAAGTAGTCCGATTGGGTTGGGAACTTGATATGCACAAACAGACAGGGACGTGTTGCGTCACTGGTTCGAATTGGAAATTCTGGGATTTGTTCAAGCGCGTCACGTTCAAGGGCGGATCCGGGGGGGGGCCAAAGGGGGCCATGCCCCCCCCCCCCCACAAAAAAAAAGGAAAACAATTTTTTTTTTATGTGACGTCACAATAAAGGCAGGCAATGAGTACACCACCATCTTTTCCTCAAAAAAAATTGGTAAAAGTGGTCAGAAATTGCCTCAGATCGCACCACAGAGCATCTAGAATCCAAAAAAAATTTCGGGGCCCTAAAGCGGGCCCCGAACCCCACGCCGTAATTTTTTGACCCACTTTTTGGGGGGACCAAAATTTTTTTGGGCCCCCAAAAAAATTGTCTTCTGGATCCGCCCTTGGTCACGTTATCCTACACACAAGGATTATTTACTCGGCCAAAGTCCCGGTTAGACGCGTGACAACGGCCCATACAGGTGACAAACACCATAAATACTTGTCAACTCAGACACCTGCCCGCGGCAGCTTTCAGATTTGCAAGGCTCTGCGCCCGATCTGGTAACGAAGTCTGTCAAGCCAGCTCATTATTTTTTGAGAAAAAAACGCCGGTAAAGGGCAAAACTCATTATCACATGTATAAAATATAATGATTGAAGACAACAAGGACACAATTTGTGGAACCAATGACGTGTTAACGTCCCGTGGGCTGTAATAATTTCCTTTACGCTATATTCAGATATTAACCATAATACGCATGCGTACACGCATTGAATGTTCACGCACTTTGTGTAAACACTGTATGGAAACCAGAGCATCTGCAAGTTAAAAAAACATTCTTTGTCTTAGAAGATATTAGTTCTGAAAAGTCTCCTGACGATGACCAGAGCAGGCTAGTGGAAACGTTGAGACCAAAGACAAGATCGTTTAAAACTTACAGCAGGACTGTTCTTATCAGAACAAAAAAAACTACTTAGCAAAGTTGATAATAAGCAGGACAAGTTCTTTTCAGAACTAATATCTTCTAAGCAGAAGTTATTATAATATATATTATTTGAACAACGCCATTAACCCATTTATTTACGGCTTTGTGAACGAACGGTTCCGTGAAGATTTCAAGAAGACCTTGTCTGCACTAAGATGCTTCTGTCGAGGAACTCGTTGAATGTAGGCCCACTCCGTTTTTCTGCTGTGTTTAATCTTTTGTGTGTGTCTATATATCACTTGCAAATATATTGCATAACATAGAAATAAATTATGGTAAAGAAAAAAACTACTATTAAGAAATAATAAACTTATTTAGTTGCACACCAGCCTGGTCCTAAATGCCTATTCTGGCTTGACCGATTTCAACTCAAATCGGCGTGTACATGATTAAGAGCTTTTGCAAGGTGTGAGCGAGAGAGCAAAACCAAAACATGATTTGTTTCATTATTTTAATGGTTTGAACTTTAATAGTAGCTTGTAGCTGCTTGTGTTAAAAGATCCAGTAGACATGAACATATGGTAATCTTAGCATGGAATACACGACGAGACCATTGCTTTCGAAGAGTGCAACGAGACCTTTGTTCCTTCAAAATATTGGTTCTTTCATGGCTCCTTAGACGGATGAAATCCATTTCGTAGATAGGGGAGCACTGATCATTTTCCTCTGTCTTTACGTTAATTTCCAATATTCACATCCCATGATCCCACCCTTTGGGCCTTATGCACGAGTTGGCCTTTTTTTATCGAGTTCACTGAATATTTAATTAATTGTTAACTGTTGAATGGGATGGCGCCAGACTATTTATGCAGACATAATGCAGCCTTATTTTACAGTAATTTTTTCTCAATCTGGCTTTAAACATTAGGGAATGTTTAATTACAAATATTAAATTATTCATTGAAGCAGACTGGGATCAAGTAGTAATTATCTTGCTTTCATTTCTCTTCGCAAGTTCCAAAAAATTAGATTTTACCTTACTTTCAATTCAATATGGCCGACTCGTGCATAAGGCTAATAAGGAACAACAGTACTCCCTTTGTGTTTGATCCTCGGTCATATATAAATCCATGTAAGAGCACACATAACACACAAGTGTTACGCGTGTTTACATGACGGTTTTTGCAATTTCAGCACGACGTCAATTGTATAAATAGTTCCGGTCTGGATTTGTATGGCTAATGTATGCTGTAGATATTGAATTAAGTCCGACTTGTGTCAAATTTAAGCCTCCTATAGTTTATTGGGGGAAAATGCGAAATTCGCTTGCACCTATTAATTTGTCGTTCAATGTCTCATTGGAAGCTTCATTACTCTTGTAATGCTAACTAACGATAACATAATTTTTTTAAATCTATGTTTTTCAATCAATCAACTATTTCGAATATTTTTGTGGTTTTAAGTTTGAATTTAGAAGAAAAAAAAGACAAAAACTTTCTACACCTAAGTAAAATAAAAGCACTATAAAGAGTGCGTTCGAGTACTTCCCCCAGCTTACTCGCGCCTGACTCCTCGTGTAATGATAGACATGCGCAGTGGAGCTAAATAAACGAACGGTTTCGGGAAAGTTTCGTGCAAGAGCTGGAAACATGAGCGTCGCCAGGATTTTTTTAGGGGGGGGGGAGCCGTATCTCCGTGCATGCTCCGTGGAAGCCCGTTTCGCGAAAGCGAAAGCGAAGCGAAATTCGTGACGTCAACAATACATTCAAAGCGCGTCCACCATTGTTGACGACACGAATTTCGCTTCGCACTTGCTTTCGCGGGAAGTATGAACCGGGCTTAAGCGCGGGGGAAGAAATCGAACACACAGTGAGTTACATATATGTCACGAAATGCAGTCTTAAAAAAAATCTCTTCATTTTCTACAAACATTTATACTTATTCTTTGAACTCTCAAACTCTTCGTTTGATCTTCTCCCTAGAAGATTTGGGCAAAAACCATCGATTTTGTGAGAAATAAATTAACATTTTGGACTGATTTTACCCCATATTTTCGTCCATCTTTTCTTTTGAAAAGCAAATCTTTCTACAAATGGAGTTGAAATGTGTTTTAGGGTCCCTTAGGCATCTTTCTAGCAACTTACAAGAAATTTCGTTTTTTGGTGAAAATTGAAAAAAATGCAAGGGGTTAGCCTTACTTTTTTATCAAAATTTGGCCAAAAATTGACTTTTCTCCAAAACAATGCAGTACTTCCTTTCGAAGTCGGAGGAGCACCAATCAATACTCAAACACCCAATATTTGGAAGATTTCG